TTATTCAAAAGTCTCCAAGCAAGTTGACTCCCAAGCACGCTGGCTTCGTTCACACTGTACTTTTCTTGACCACGAAGAAATCTCCTTTAATTGATTACAACTGTCCACCTCCTAAGTCTCTACTTGGAGTGCAACTAGCTGGTCAACAGGGGACGATTGCTTCCCTTTTGACCCGCCAGCGCGCTCCTTATATACTCCAGGAACCCTTATCTATGTTTTACATGTGTTTTAATGCGGGATACTTCGGTCCGAATTACAAATATGAAATTTAATGAACGTGTGGTATATTTTGTAGTCTATCTCTGTGAACACTACAGATTTTGTAGTGTCGCGTCTTTCATTTTCAAATGCATCAAGTGTTTGATGCGTACGCGGAGTTAGCCGACGTAGCTATTCTTAGCTTGGCATGATCTCGCGTGTTTCTTTCTATGGCCCGGTTTACCGGTTTGACAGATGACATCACAAAATGATTAACGTTTCCTGATGCGTTGATGCGCATGCGTACGCGTTTACCAATAGTCTTCGGCCTTCCGTCGCTTCCGAGTTTTTAATTAAAATGCCTTGTCTTGGCTCGTCTTTTCATTACGGAGGTCGGGAGACACTCCGAAGGTGTTTTCAAATGTCTTTCTTAATTGTCAGGGGGTTCTTATTATATTTCATATAATAGAATGTGTCTTTTTCTCATGTTTGTACTTGTGACGTTCAGACGCATCAGTCTTTGATGCGTACGCGGGAACTGCCGTCCATGACTTTCTGAATGGCCGGGAGCCACGCTAAGTCTTCATACGTTTACTACCTAGGTGTAGTTTAGTCTTTCCATGTTTCAGACATGCCGTTTAAGCGTCTATGTCGTCTTTTCTGTATTTCTTGTATAAGCACGAGTTTTCACAATAAATCCATTATGTGTTTCTAAACCCTTTGGTAGTAATGCAATTCTTCTCCCTGCGTTGGGTGTTTACTCTAGAACCTCTTCGTGCTCTATTTCATGGTAGGTGAATCTTAGATAGGATCCAAGTATAATGTCACGACGCGTACTGCTGCCAGTTCCAAAGCCTTGTCCTATTTTCAGATTCCACGCATTTGCATTTTTAGTCAACTGCGCCGGGTATGCACATTGACTCTTTGTATCATTGCAATTGTATGTAGTGTATTTATTAGAGATGACCTTTTATCGGTAAAATCGTTAAAATTGAATTTTATACGGGTGAGATGGTTTCATCCGTATCATCTCCCCCCCACTATAATACTGACCGTCCTCGGTCATCGCAAGATTCCCCGCTGAGGACGTCTTTCTCTGGACTTTGTCTTGTGGTTCACACGTTTTCATATTGTAGCGACGGATCGCCAAGATTTTCCAGGATCGACTGACATACGACTGACAATTTCTGAAGTTGTCAATGTCCGCCACACCGACGTTTTTCCCGTTATAGTATGCATCTCACGCACGTCAAGCTCAAAGCTTCCGAAATTCTATTTTTAGACGCAAGCGCCCAATAAACTTTCTTAAGTTCTTCGATTCTCAACGATTTGCAGGAACCGCAACAAATCGGACACGGAGTTCCTCTGGAACATGGTGACCTTTTTGTTTTTCTCGTGCTATAAAAGAGGACCCCTTTTTGGTCGTCTTTTCTTTCTCAAGGTCCCCATTCTTCCCTTCGCATCTCTTATTTCATCATGGCAAGCTGGCAAATTCTTTTCGACGGTTCTGTCTTTACCCGTGCTGTCTACTACTCGGCTTGCTCGTTGTTCGACGAGGAGGGTCTCGCTGACTGCGATGGTGAAGACATCGCTAATCTGTTGACTATTGTTCACCCGCTTATGGTACGTCGTCTTTTTTCATTCATTCTTTTTATTCTTATGCTAATATTCGTCCTATAGATTCACTACGTCCGTTCCCTCGATGATGGCTCTCAAGAAACTCCCGGTGACCTTCGCGTTCGTAAATCGCTTTACAATGCGTGGGCCGTCTTGAGTACCGATCACGCCAATCCGGATTGGGATGAGTGGATGCTCGAGGCACCTCTCGAAGACGAATATTATGCTGAGGTAAGTTTTTTCTTTTTTTATTTTTTTTTATTTTATTTTTATCTCTTCTTTTTATCTAGTCTAACCTCTATATTTCTAGGAGGATTGTCTTACTGGAGACTTCATCATTACTCCTTTGAGTAATGATGAACTTCTTCAAGTTCTCCCTGCGATTTGTGACGCGCCCGTCAGGGCAAATCCTTTCCTGGCGCCGTCTACGCCTATTGCTCGTCGTCACCCATCGCCGATTGCAGAACGCGCTCCTTCGCCTGTCCATACTCCATCGCCCATTCGCGAGGAATCTGTCCAGCCAATTTCGCCATCCTTCGTAAGTTTTTATCTTTCATTGTTTTCATTTGATTTCTAACATTTCTTTTTAGAAACGTCGTGTGGGTCTTCTTGACTCACCCGATTTAATTCGGTTTTCGCCCACTCCGCCCCACAGCTTTCCTGCTGCCGGACCTTCTCGTGCTCCTGGCGTGGGTTCCGCCGACGCGCCTATCCCTCTTTTCCTGTCTCCCACGCCACCTCCTGGCATTATGCTGCCTGTCACTCCTCTCCCAGCTGCATCTGCAAACGCTCCGACGATCCTCGTGGTTCCCCGCCTCAATATTCCTAAGGTGGAGATGCACACACGTCGTGATCGTCCTGCAAAGGCTCTCGCCAAGATGAAGAACACGCTCGTACTTGCGCCAAGCACGAAATCCAAGGCGAGTAAACGCAAGCGGAGCCCCAGTGAAGAAGGAGAGGATGGCCAATCGGACAAGTCATTCATTGCTAATCCACCTCCTCGTAAACGTGGACGACCCCGTAAGAACTGTACGTTCTCTTTTTATCATATTTATTCCTTTTTAAAATCTAACTTCGTGTTTTTATTGTAGCGCCGGAGGTCATCAACCCCGACTTGACGCGCGATAAGAAACGCCTCTGTAAGACTTTTTTCTTTTTCTCAGTTCATTCCTAGTTACTAACTGAAGACTTTTTCTTTTTCTTAGTTCCTCCTCATCAGCGGTTTATCGGAGCGTTCAACGTCCCTACCGACTTAGAGCATCTTTTCAACAAGCCTTTTGTAAGTAATTTTATTATTTCTTCTCTTTTTATTTGCTCAAGTTCTCTTTGTTCAGATGCCCGAGCCTTGCGTTCAATGCTCCATGGGCAAGAACCGAAAGGAGGAGAAATGCCAGTTTCAAGGCTGGGGTTACCCCTGCGTGCCCTGCAAAACTGCGCATTTCACTTGCTGTGAATACAGCCTCAAGCCTGTCCGTCGTGCCGAAGTCCGCGGCATTCTGGGACGTCGCCCTGCTCGCTTGGCTCCTGAACGTAAGTCTTTGAGTTTATATTTTATAGAGTTTTTCTTTCTAACTTCTTTTATTCTGTAGTTATCGTTTTTCATATTCAAGACGCTGTGTTCGATCAACAGCACATCCGCGCGAATCAAGCAATCATCGACTCCCTTATGTATCGTCGGGACACCAACATGCGCCGTGCTGCCCAAGCACTCTTCGATCTCGCCGCTATCGAAGGCAAGGAGAGCTTGGTCGGTACTATTTTTCAAACGCAGGACGACTTCGACCATTATTTCCCTTTCATCATGTCCTTCCTTGGCGACCTCAGCGCCCCTGTCGATGATTCCGAAGATGAAGATGCCACCAAGAACTCTCGCGACAATCTTGCAGAGATGGCCGTTCTGTTCGAGAAGATCTGCCCTGGTCGTCCTTCTGCCGAAGACTCTGATGATGACAATGAAGACAATGAAGACGAGGCTCCGGCCAACGATGGGTGAGCGGGGCCCTTTTCATATTTTTCTACATGTCATTTTGGACTCAGTACGATATTTTACGCGCAAACTCTCATTATATCGTATTTCTTTGCACTTCTTGTAGTTTTTATTAGGTAGACTAATAAAAGCTTGTATCTTGTTGTTTTCTACTAGTGTGAAAGAAGACTGAAGTCGCTTAAGCTGACTTAGAGACTTTTTCAACCAATTTCTAAGTTCGTTCTTTAATTATAAAATCGCAAAACATTTGTTTCTTGATTTCAAAAGGTACATTATATGTTATAATAGATCACTATCCTCCCCCCTACTTTTAAAATCAACTGTCCTCAGTTGTTCCGCCAAGCGTGAAGAGTGCGTCTGAAGCGACGGCAATTCTATTAATAGCACATGTGATTATCATACGCGATACCTCATGAAATGATGCTCAACTCCTGAATGAGCGCGTTGTCAAATTGCTCTCCATTCTCTAGTCAGGGGTGTAGAACAGTGGAACTCGTTAAAAGATGGGAAAAGTCGTCAAGTATTGTAGCACAATTCACAACACTTTTACCCAGCTTAAACATGGCACCTCCTGCACCTCTCGCTTCTACTCTCGTCATCCGCGACAATATCAACGAAGCGTTTAAGACTTATGTCAACTCGAAGCCGACGTTCCAGCCCCTTGTTCTGCTCAGCATGCTTTCTAGCATCGCTGGCTCTGCGTACGCTTTTTATGATATATACG